GAAGCTTTTCTGAAGGCGGAGTTTAACAGATCTGAAAAGTCTTATTGTTACAGTTTTGAAAAAACATTCAGTATTGGCTAAAAGTCATTGCTACTGTTTGTGATAATACTCGGCAAATTGCAAGGCAATAATATGCTATCGAAAGAACTGAACAAAGCATCTCAATAATGTGTATTTCGAAATAGACGGAAATGAAATAATTCCCTTATTTGATCCTCCACATTTACTGACTGAAGTGCATGCGTAATAATTTTTGTTAATTAAAATGAAAATTTACGAACATAGATGGAGATGAGTATGAAGCATCTTAGAAAGATATAATAGAATATTATATTATAATGGAAATTCAAGATTATTTTGTCGATGTCCTTCGTTGACTGAACATCATTTAGACAATACGAAAATGAAAAGAATGAAAGTAAGTCTTGCTGCACAAGTTTTTCTCTCTTGCATAGAGGACGCCATAATATGGCGTAACCAGACTGAGGAGCCTGTTAATTAATCTGATTTTTGATATTTATGGATTGCCTGCTTGGCAGTGTAAACGGTTTATCCAAATTACCATTAAATAGTAAATTATTTCGTTGTGCTATTTGTAATTGCTCCCAACATATAAAATTTCGGCATGTGGGCAAAAACTATTGAATTCAATACAATTCATAAAGATCAAAGGTTCGGTTCAAGTACTAACAAAGCCTATGGAAGGTTCAGGTATATGTCTAAAAAATAAAAGTAATTCTAGGATTTAATTATTTATGTACAAGGAACTTCAACTAAGATCCTTTGGAGAATTTTTTTGGAAGCATAAGGAATCAAGGAGTTACCAATACAAATCCTACATGCCATGCTTTTATTTCTGCCTTTAGAACATTGCTGATCAATAACTTATCATCTCGATATTTACTATCTTCTAATTGTGAGATGGATGATAACACTGGTTTGCTCACTACGTTCCGAGATTTTCTACATGCTGAAGATATCGTTAACATAGATGATATAAATGATCTATCGATTACTCCACTGTGGAGTCTCCACAACCATTTGATTTTCAAAATTTATCATTGTACAGTAAAACTGCAAGTGCAGGATACTGTACAAAAAAACATCAATGTGCAATGTAATTTCTGGGCAAATCACTAGATCTGCTGGCTAGTCCAATTAGTGCAACTGAGTCTTCATGGATAGCATCAAGGAATTACACAGGACAATACATATTCGGCCCCGAAACTTTATTTTTAAATTATTCATGGAGTGCAGTCAGGTACTAGATTATTTCATGGGCACATTATGTATTGAAAATAAAATAAAATTAAAACTTAAAATTAAGCTAGAGAAACATGTTTAATATGTATAAATTTTCGTGCAATAACATAATTTGAAAGAAATGTTTTCAGATTCGTTCACATTATTTTTCATCAATATTTGAAATGTATGAATGAAAACTGTAAAACGTTATCTAACAGATAAATATGTGGACAAACATGAGCAAGACCCTGTAAAGAAAATGGCTCTAGTCAAGCATGAGAAAATCCTCCGGGCAAATAAAGTGCGACTGAGGAAAAAAAACCTTATATTTTTCCATGAGTGCTACAAGATGATCTATATAATATGCCGTCGATATCCTTCCAATTATAATATAAATATGTTCTGTTATAATTGTTAATGTAATTTTTCCATAAGTAATAATTAATTAATTTTCATTGGCTTTAATAATTCTTGGGAGAACAAATTATATAATAATTGTAAATATATCGTTTGCTTTAATGTTTTGTTCTCATTTCATGTATTCAAATTATTTACCGTTTTCTATATTATAGATAACCTAATAAACCTTATCTAGAATTAAACCTATAGGTAAATTTACATGGTACAGATAGTGACATCTACAGAATGCTGATTTTTCCATCTATTTATACTTGTTTATATATGGCACTATCCAAGACTATTCAAATATGAGGAAGGTGATGGCAAATAGAGACTCCATGATTATGGCGGACTCTTTGAATTAGATCGTACGTTGAATCAGATGCTGCAACAATTTTATTTTTTTTCCAGGAATGCGTCGATATATTAGACAACATATTAAACGGTGTTTTGCACTGTCTATGAAGCCCGAACTGGTAAGAAGCAAAAGAGCTGCATCCAATAAATTCTGAGAGATGCCGTTTGCAATAGTCCTGCAGACCATTTGGGATCTTTTGTCAAGAGTGGCAAACAGAACAAATATATACATTAATTTGTAATTTGACTTAATTTTTATGGTGGATCCATGCGTTCAGAAGAGTGGTGGACTTCGTGCTAATATATGGAGCCTTAAATGGTTGATTACGGATCGAGGGACCTCCTACACAGCCAAGGGATTTCAGGAATGCGCGAGACACGGAAAATTCGCACCGCTGAACTCTCCGCGACATGCACAGCCAACGGATAAGTGTAAAGGATGAACACTGGAGTTCAAAGCTGTCTTTTCTAAGTAAGTTTTCTTATTAGCTAAATGAACAATTCTGTAGTAACTTATATCATTGTTGATTTGTCTATTTACAGACACAATTGCAAGAGTTTTAACGTAATGCTCATAAAGTGTCGTGTTTATAGCAGAGAAGTCAACGAATTGTACAATGGCAAAATAATGCCGATACAAGATGCCGAATATGAGGTTCACGTGTGGAGGCTTGAATAGTCTGCTTAAATTGAATGATGAGTCGATTCTGCCGTAAATTAGACCAACGTTATGGCAAAGCTATGTTACATGACAGTTTTCATACAAAATCATACTAAATCCTGTTTATATAGTTTATGTAATAAAAAGTAAATCACAAGTTATTGTGCAAAATAATATATATTTACAAAACTACAAACTTATATGAATTGACATTATTGTTATTTGCAAAAATATTTTAGCGTTCTTTACATATTTGTGAAACAAAATTATCTTTATTTCTACTATTTACAAATAGGAAAAAAATCATGATTATTAACAAGTTAATTGTATTAAGGTTAGTGCAAACTTTTGTGCTCTGTACACATTTTTCAATGTAGGATACCAGGTACAATATCCATTGATGATGATATCAAATTGTATGTCGAAACCTTTGGAATTAAAGTCATAAAAGAACTTACACACACACACACACGCATATATATATATATATATATATATATACACACATATATATATATATATATATATATATATATATAATATATTAGATAATTAAGTATTTGATTTGTAAGTATTGTGTAAAGCTTCGAACAGAGTATCAAATCCAATGATAATAAAAACCAATGTTTTTTTTGAAAAATATATTTATTTATTTTTTTGATTAATCAGTAATATGAATAATATCTTCTCCATCAACTGTTTTTGTAATATTCATGATTAACGAAAGTAATGAATTTTAGCAAATCCTTCATGTCTCTCAATTTTTTCTTTATCAAAGTTCTAGCTTTAGAACATGATGTATATTATTAAACATTTCGGTCTACCTGGTACAGACATACTTATATTAATGACTTTAAAATTTGTATCTTCATTATAGTCACATTTATTGTATAAGATTGGGTTTCCACTTTTCCAACTTTATCCAGCGCAATTTTAAGCCAATTCACTGGACAACCTGTGCTGGTTACATTTTTGTTAATGATTGATTGTTTTAATGGTCTTGTTGAAAGATTTTGGTAAAATATTTGGATTAGCTGAAATGACACTTTCTTTTTACATGTTTTATTATATTGTACCAATCATCTGGTGAAAAATGTCTTGATTTTTTTTCGCTTGTGACTCAATAATGGCAAAATCTTAAGTCATTGGGTAAATAGCTATTTCCACTGACCAGGAATGTCATTTCAATTGACTTAGCTCTTATTTTCGTATGTACTTTGAACAAGTTTCAATAAACTTAAGACAGTTTTAATATTTCTGTTTTGCCGGGTACATGAATTCCTGTATGTTATTTTTTTTATAAGTATTTATAAAACAGGATGAGTTTTCTTGAGAACCACGAAACCCTACAGTTCTTTGCTAAATACTCATATGTTTTATATTTTTACTAAATTCTTATTCGTAATTCATAATTCGGAACCCCGAATTCCGGCCCAGCCGGAACTTATACAGTACAGAATGGAGTTAATCAAAAGAGGAGTAAGGAGTTTTCTGAAATAAATTACTTATTATTCATGGTAAAAAAAAATCCGTTTCACGGTGATAATTATTATTATTCCGGAAAGTTATGCATATTATATTAAATTCAACAGATTTTTATATAACCTCTATCTAAAGGATAAATTAAATTAATAGTTATTCAAACTAAACGATATTTGGTATTCGTAAAAAAATTCATGAAATTTGTATTTGGCATTGGGTAAATAATGTAGCTTTAATTCGGAAAACCCCCCATAATTAAAATTAAGACATTGGGCGTGTTTTCCACATATGCGGTAAACCAGACAGATGAATTTTTTTAAGAAAAATAGCTAGTAAACATATTTCTATATTATATATGTTTGATATGCGTTTTGTACTGTAAAGTACGTTGTTTACAGTATTTACAGTTTAATTACTGCTGATATGCTTAAGCCTATATTATATATTGGGATGCTGAATGCAATATTTCACTCGAAGAGCCATCTACCTAGCTTAACAATCAATCACGAAAGGGACTAGCGCTATTTTCTTCATAACTATATATAACAGAATCGTATTTTTGTTTAGATTTTTATTTATACGTATAACATAGCAACATGTTATAGGGTACCGCTTGTAATAAAATTAATCAAATTATGAAAATATTAATAAATGAATGGATTTATTAGAAACATTTGTTAAACAATTACTCTAATTATTTACCTTTCCCGCTGTAAGAAAAGTTTAATTCGATATACACAGTAATCAACCACACGTATACTTATAAATAAACAGCTTTACTCGTCGGCACTTATAAATATAAAATAGGTGTTGCTTTTTTGTATATAAAATTCTATATATATATATTAGTTTATTATTTTTATCTTTAATTTTATTCTTAAACTGTTACAATTTTTCTTACAATGCATTCATTCATACAATTTTTCATTGATGTAACGTTCAATTTTTGAACCTATGTAAGTTTGATTCGGCTACACTTTACCAAAATGCCTCAAATAAATTTTACAATGTGTGTACGAGTATACATACATACATAATACATACATGTATGTAATATATAATTATATATATGAACTTGTTCTAATATTTTTCAAATAATGTTTGTACATTTTTCCAAATTCTTCTCATTTGTATTAGATATTTTACACCTATGTTTGTTTTTCTATTTTCATTCAACATTTTCATTTTCAATCAAGAATTACAGTTTGATTCGATATACTGTATTTTCCATGTCCTACTTCTGTAATTTTCCGAACTTTTCACGTTAGCGCTGCTGTTCTTTCGTTTCAGCGACTCAACCAATGTCGTAATAGCTTCATGTAGCTCTCAAACTTTTAACCAGTTAACATGTCTGGATGAAAAAAAGCTTTTATAAATCTTTTCATTTAGTATTTAATTATTAAAAATTTCTTGTTATATAACTATGTGTTTTTTTTAATTATTTGTTTGGTAAGTTTTTACATATTATCTTATTTTATTTTTTGTTGTTTACCTTTATATACATCAGCAATGTATTTTTGACAAACATTTATTATTATATTGTTTAAATTTGTTATTATTCATATTTATAATTATATTTTTGTTAGTTTTGTAATTTTTCTATATTTTTCACTTGTAATCTTGTAATTTAAAAAAAAAAACATTTCTTTGTTAACTTCCCGTAGGGTAGTTATAGTAATGGGCCGAAAATCGAAAATGAAAATTTTTGCATTTCTCGACGTTTTGAAAGTTTCTGAACATTTTGGCATACCTCAGAAAAAATGGACACATTTTCACAGGTCCACATTTTCGGGCGCACGGATCAACCGATTTGAATGGTTTAAAAAACATTTGATTTCTATTGATAGGGAGATGTGCTGATTAGTTTTTGGCAAAAGCAGGTTCAGCCGTTACGGAGATACGAAGCAAAGAGTGCAGAAAATACAAATCAAGTTTTTGAGAGAATCGAGTATCAGATTTGAATGATCTAAAAAACATTCAATTTGTAATGATTGGGAGAAGAGGTGACAGAGCTAAATGTGCAAAAAATGGCAGTTTTTGAGAGAATAAGCGTTCGAACTGCATGATCTAAAAAACTTTCTGCTTGTATTGACAAAACAATTGCTTGTGAGGATAAAAAATTATTATATCTTTTTTTATTTTCCATAAAATAGTTTTGTAATTTTAGATTAAAAATTCAAAAAATTACCCAGGCTAAGCACAGTCTAAGCGCCACTCTCGTACAAATGTTTACCCAAGCGTGTTTAGACTGTTTATGTACTGGAGCATTTTTCCCATTTTGTGAAAACGATTGAAAAATGTAAAAATGCCGCCAAGCTAAGTACAGTATAAGTGAAAATGTCGCACAGAATTATTTGCAAATGCGTTTAGACTATGACTATACGGGAGCACTTTTTCAATTTTGTGCAAATTAGGCAACTATTTTTTTGAAATTCAATTCGAAATGAAATATGACGATTGTTAATTTTCTGGAGATAAATTGATTTATAATTTATATTTGATTTGCTCAGATATAACAAGATAGCAAATTATGACACGATGCCATACACCATTAGTTTAATTGCTATCGACATTTCGGAACTAGGTACATTCCATCTTCAGGGCATCTGTCAAGAAACACGTTCTTGATAAGATTTAAGCAAACAATAGCAGAAGATGATGGATTTTTTTAATAAAAAATGAATAAAATTGTGCTAAAAAAAATAATGTACAGAAATATGACAACATAATCAAAATGAAAATGATAAAAATAAATGAGTGGATTATATAATAAAATATTAAAAATGTTAAACAATTAGAAAGTTATAGAAAGTTTTAAGAAAAGGTCATTGAAAAAAAAAACAGAATTAATTACCCGTATGATTGATTTTGCACTAATACTTTTTCACTAAAGAAGTTTTTATCAAAAAAAAAGTGATTTTATAAATTTCTTTTCAGACAAAAAACAAATTTTCTAATTCAAAATTTCTTTAAATTATGTCGTTTTTGAGTTTGTTATGTGAGACAAAAAGTATTATTTCCGGGATGTTATGAGACGAACTATTGGTAACGAAAAGAACAAAACTGTATTTAAAAGTTAAAATTCATATTAGGCATGTAGAATATGGGCATAAAAAGTTTGAAAACTACTGAAACTACTCTGAATTCTCGTTATATCGATAGCTATCGAAATACCCGCCGAATATATGGCGCTGCCGGTCAGTCGCATGTTGGGTTTTGTTACTTGAAAGCGCGCGTTCGAAGTGCACGGTCGATGGTGTTTGGCGATTACATGTATCAGAGATAGAACGTAAAACTTCACTCCAATATTTACTAGGTAATTTAAGAAAAACAATTTATTTATTTTCGCCATTGTATACATATGCTTTAATTAATCATTATTCTCAAAATTCAGTACCGTACACGTTCATAATTGTATAGTATTGTTGAATGTTATGTCATGTATAAAAATAGAATGCAGTTGCATTTTTAAATTATGTCAGAATACGTAATATAGTAGTTTTTTGGGAATGATTGATACATGTATGCATGATAATTGAACTGCAATAGGTTGTTGTACATTTTCATGTTTCCTTATTTTGCCGACATTATTTGTTTGATTTTTTGACCTGTGGTAAACTTATTAACCTATATTTTTCGTGTTCTTCTTATGCAGCAAAAATGGTATCGTCGCACGTTTACGCAATCACATTTTTCACATTTTTGGTATGTGGAGCTGGAGGCACCCTGATTTATAAGCTACACCAAAGACGAACAAAAAAAAGCAGGGATAAAATTTTAACTATTCGGGTGAACAGAAAATTAGGAACCCGCTTGTTTGGAGAGGATGGAAAAACCAAAAAGGAAATTGAAAAGGCGTAAGATATATATTTCATATCTTGTTTGAGCTAGATTATCATTTGGTGTCTAAATTGTGCAATCTTCTGCAACTGAATCATTATCTATTTTATAATTTTGCCGGAGACGATTTATAAATGACAGGTTTTTAACAATACAAAATCTAAGTGGTTATTCTCAGAATTATTATCTACATTTTATTATTATTATTCTTCACTAAATAGAATAACCTCAATACAGAGTTAGTGTTTTAGCTATGAATTATAAAATAGTGCATTTTATATTTAAAAAGTTTAACATTTCTTTAAGTTATAGTCACTATTCAAAGATAGTTCTGAATTTTATTTAAAGTTTTTTATCACCTAATCTCACTGAAAATTTATGATACAATTGCATTTTTAAAATTAACTATCAAATTTTATATCATGCGTACTTTCTGTTTTGTTTTTTATAAAAAAGTTACTTTTCCAGGAGAAATGTTGATATAACATTGGAAGATGATGGGTGTCGTGATATGCTTATCATAATATCTGCAACATCACAAAATGATTTAGATATTTGTCAACGAATTATTGCAAAGAAGTTAAAAGATGATGATGCAAGACCGAGTTCATTACGACCTTTTAAGGAAAAGATTTGGATAAGTTTACATGCCTACAGAAAGCTTACAAGTAACTAAAAAGTATTACATGTATGAAAGATTTATATGCATATGTGTGTATGTAAGAATTAATATTATGAATGCATACTTAGATTTTTATTTTTTCATTTTGAATTGAAACTTAAGGAATTAGTGATACTGATGCATTTTTTTATACTAGTGAATCCACGTTTGGAAATTACTTCTTTTGAGTATGAAGATAACGTAAAAATAGATGTGGAATTTCCACGTGATGGTAGAAATATGGCTGGAATACAAATTTCAGGAGACAATGAACAAGATGTAATGAATGCTAAAGACAAAATTCAAACTAAGGTAAAATATTTTTTTAATTTTAGGTAAAATATGTGCAGTATAAATAGCACATGTACATGATTAATATTATTAATTCTTGTTTTTCTTTTAACATAAAATTATTTTTTTTTAAATATACTTCATTTTATTTGCAATAATTTACAATTAGTATTGTGAGATTTTTTGTAAAATAGTGAAAAAATAGTTTAGAATGGTGTCGGAATAATTTTACTTACTGCTTTATTTCGCTTCAGCTTATCAAAAGACTGTCGATTTGAATTCTGTTTACACTGCATTTTCTCCAGAAATGAAATGCTTGAAGAATTAATTGGAGTTCTGTGTGGTTTGCTTGAATGTGGGCAATAAAATTATTTTTTTTTTATTTCAAAAAGCTTTTATTAATCCACTGTTTTACTATAATTTTATGTGTTTGTAACATTTTATATATTTTTATAATTTTTTATTGGCTTAATAACAAATTTTTATAATTTCATTTATATTTGTGTAATGCATGGTTTTTGGTGATACATCCTTTATTTAACATTGTTAAACTCTGAAATATGACTATCTAATTCTACATTTCATTACATAAAACATTTAAATCTGTCATCAAAATTACTTTGTCATAGAGATTGAAATTTTTAACCCAATTTAACTAATAGTTTTGTTACTAATTGTTTTGGCTGTGATTTACTTTTATCATACCTGGAATGGCAAATGTTATGTAACTAAGTTGTGTAGAAATGTTTCCTCCCTTAGATAATTGTTTTAAATGTTTGTTGAATGTTGATATTGATGAATTTTTATTGTATTTGTTGTATTCTAATTGTTGTATAATATGTTAACTTCTATAAATAAATTTCTTTTTAACTTTTAACCAGATCTTTTATTTGTTTTACTTTATTCGACAAAGTTATAAATTTAAACATTTTGCTTTAAAATACTTAATTTATTTTTGTTTGTAAAGTTGCTTTTTTTTACAAAAAGCATAAAAAGTAGTTGTGCCTGAACATTATTTCATTACTGTAATCAAATGCAACGATTTTTTAATCATCATTTACATTATAAAGTTCTCATATTAATATTATTTCTTGAAATCATCGGTGTTGGTATATGATTACTAGTAGGAACTATTATTCTTACTTTTAATTAATAATTTTTTTTTTTTTTATTGCTGTGCTTCAATGGCCATTGGACGACTGCATTGCAATAGTAGTTGATTTACATCAATTAACATTGAATGATAACAATTTGCTGTGCTGTCATTAATCATATATTGTGGTGAATTTGTAGAAATTGTGTTTACTGTACTAGATTCTGCAATTTACTATACTTCCTAAATTACATTTGAATCAATTATTGACATCTCATTTTTTAAGATTGTTTTGTTTTTTTTTTTTTTTTGATATATATTCAAATCAAATATGTTATTTGAGACGTTTTGATTCAAATGTGATTCAAGTTATCTTGCTTTTGTAATTCAACTTGAAATAACATCTTATATATCTCTATTTTTTTCATCTAAAACAATCTTCAGTGTTTTGTTTTTACTCAACAAATTTATATGAAGTATTAACAATTTTCAGCTTTAATTCACAAAGCATAAATGAAATTTTATATATATCACCATGCATTGATTTCATATATTGTAGATTACATAGACATTTTTTTTAACAGTTGAAACATCTACAGTAAGGCATTATTTCCTATGTTGTTTTAATTATATGATAGTTTCAATTGAAAAAAATTATAGGTATTAAAGAAAACGAATGAAATGAAATAATTATTGTCAATGTAAATGCTTGAACATATAAAACCAATGTGTAACTGAAATTATACATAACTACAGTTTTTGATGTAATAAAGTGGTGTGATTCTTAATGTGATCAATGCTATATATATATATATATATATATATATATATATATATATAAATAGTAATCGGGCATAAATTTATAAAAAATATGAATTTCTCTCAAAAATTTTCTTTTAATTCCATGGATTTAATTCACAAAATTTTATATACACACATCTGTAATTACCAAATAAAGTGTGTGTTAAAAACCTGAGTGTCGTATTGTTCATATTTAACATTTAATATATATATATATATATATATATATATATATATATATATATATTTATATGTGTGTGTGTGTGTGTGTGTATTTATGCCAAGAAAATATGAACTAATGATAACTGATTAAATCAAAGGTTAAGGAGATTGATGAATTAGAGCGTTCTTTAGATGAAACATCTGCTAAGCGTACCCCCAGGTTACCTACAACGGTTAATAGCGGATCGAGTGAAGTTGCAGTACCTGAACGAGAAAAACTTGAACCAGCTGGTAATTTTCTTTTGGCAAACACAGCTTATTTTGAAAAATTAATGTCGTTTTTTTATAGGAGCCGATGGGACAATGGAAGTTTATGTATCAGCTTTGACTTCGCCACATAGGTTTTGGATGCAAATTTTGGGTCCTCAAGCTGCTGCACTCGATAACTTAGTGGAAACAATGACTGAATATTATAATAAAGAAGAAAACAGAGAGTTGCACACAATCATAAGTCCTCAAGTTGGTCAAATTGTTGCAGCCATGTTTAACGTTGATGGCAAATGGTACAGAGCTCAGGTAATAGTTTATCTATTATATAGGTGATTTATATATATATATATATATATATATATATATATATTAGGGTGGTCCTTAAAATGGTCATTTTCGAATTTCCTTGCTCCCAGGGGCTTAAATGGTTCCAAATAGATAAAAAACAATTCTCTGAAAGTTTTAGCTCTTAATATTAACGTTTAGATAGAGCGCAATTCAATCAAAGTTTGTATGGAAAGAGCATGGAAAAAATTTTGAAAATTAAAAAAAAATGTTTTAGGTATAAGTTAGCGACAAATGAATGAGTTTTATTTATTCATTTGTTCACTAAATTACATCTAAAAAACATTTTTAAAATTTTTGAAAATTTTTCCATGCTATTTCCATACAAAACTTTGATTGAATTGCGCTCTATCTAAACGTTAATATTAAGAGCTAAAACTTTCAGAGAATTGTTTTTTATCTATTTGGAACCATTTAAGCCCCTGGGAGCAAGGAAATTCGAAAATGACCATTTTAAGGACCACCCTAATATATATAATATATATATATATATAATATATATATATATATATAATATATATATATATATCAGCAAACCCGACGAACTCCGTTTCGCCACCAGATGGTTTCGTGAGAAAGATGAAGAAATTTTTTGTTTGTTTTATATTTGAAAAGTAAAAATTTGATCAGTAAGGAATGCCGACTTATTTTTATATATATAGGAGATAATCTATTTGCAATTATTTAAAACAATTATTGATTATTTTTATTACTCCAATTTTTAATTACGGTGCGTGCAGTTCCAGCAATTTGCATTAGGGCACGATGCCATGCACCACTAATTTTCTTAGCTATAAACCTTGCGGAGCCGAGACCTTTCCAACGAATGCAAAATTGTCGAAATCGGTTCGTGCGTTCTGGAGTTATTTCGTCAGGAAGGAAAACCCGATCTATTTATATATATAATATAATCTATTTGCAATTTTTTAAAACAACCCTAATTTTCTTATCTATAAACCTTGCGGAACCTGAGACCTTTCCAACGAATGCAAAATTGTCGAAATCGGTTCGTGCGTTCTGGAGTTATTTCGTCAGGAAGGAAAACCCGATCTATTTATATATATATAATATAATCTATTTGCAATTTTTTAAAACAACCCTAATTTTCTTATCTATAAACCTTGCGGAACCTGAGACCTTTCCAACGAATGCAAAATTGTCGAAATCGGTTCGTGCCTTCTGGAGTTATTTCGTCAGGAAGGAAAACCCGACTTATTTTTATAAGTATAGAAGATATAATATATATATATATATATTCGTTTGCGTTTCGTCCTTTGAGATGTGAGGTTCAAATTTATTATTTTTCTTTTTAATTAATTTTATAAATATAATTCGTTGTTTTTATTACAATTTTTTCATTATTATGTCTCTAAGTAAAAATTTTTATTTGTAACATTTTGTTTAGTGTTTAGTGCATATTTTGTTGTGTTCTTCTATGAACTGAAGAAGAGTCAAATTGGGACTCGAAACGTATGGACCATTAAATTTACCTTAACAAACAAAATATAGTTTTCTCTATCTTTATTATCTTGAAAAAGTTTATAGTTTTATCAACATATTTATTACCATTCGAAAAAATTATCACATACAAGGCCGGATTTAGAAATTTGGCGCTCTGGGGCACCGACAAAAATGCCGCCCCATCCCTGAAATTTTACTTAAATAGTTTTTATATCTCTTTTTTTTCATACTGATCGCACATTGTAGTCTAACCGGTAAACACTGGTAGAGGGAACCCATAAAATGTAAACAAAAATTGTTGTTAGTGAATAATCTCTATAAAATATCTGATAATTTGTTGTGCCTATGCCTATGATCATTTGTGACCGCCGATTTTTTTTTTTATTGGATTTCTATCAAATATCGGCAACCCCGCGCTCCTAATGCATTCAAATTAATGATTCAAAATTTTAAATGAAAAATAATGAATTTTAATCATCGGTTATTTGAACCTAAATTTTGCATTACAATCGTATTATGTTTTGTTAATTATCTCGAAATGAAAAATGTTATTAAGAAGAATTAGTAAATTATATTGTATAGAATTTTAGTCTCACTTTCCAAATTTTGTCGTCCCAGAAAATTTGCTGCACTGGGCACTATCTTCGACTGCCCCTACTGTAAATCGAGCACTATATATATATATATATATATATATATATATATATATATATATATATATATATATACAATATATATATATATATACAATATATATATATATATATATATATATATATATATATTATTGATTAACTTACATATTGTCATATTTTTGGGTCAATATTATTAGTACCTATTAAAATAACTTACTTCATTGTTTATTAGTAATAAGTTCTATGACTCAACTTTTTCAGGTACAAGAAATAAAACCCAATGATTATGTTCCATGTCAACCAGTGTTGGATTTGTATTTTGTAGACTATGGTGATAATTGTTATGCTGCGCCTAATGAAGTTTTTGAACTACGGCCAGATTTTTTGACTCTTAGGTTTGTTTATGGCATAATACTGTTTGTTGCTTATGTGGCACCTATTTTATATTTATCTTTCTATTTTAATTTCTTCATACTAACTTTAGATTTCAAGCTATAGAGTGCTTTTTGGCGAATGTTAGTCCTCCCAATGCAGTTGATAGTAATGATAACAATTATCCAGATGAATCCATTGAGAAGTTTGAGCAACTAGCACATGTAAGTTTTTTTTACTGACAGCTAAAGAATTGCATTTATCACTTATGTACACACACACACACACACATATATATATATATATATATATATATATATATATATATATGCAGTGTGTTCCGGACCTTGGCATCAAGCCGAAATGTGGTGAAAGTATTGATCTTAACCATCCTGAAAAATTTTAGAAAAAAAAACTATGTCACGTTGTTTGAAAATTATGAGCTTTTAAGTGCAACCTATTGCTTTGGTGAAGTTATGCCAATGTCTTGGTTGTGATTAACTCTTATTAATTTTGGTTATTTAAACTTTGGAACCGTAACTGTGAATAACATTTCTAGGACCACAATTTTTATTGTACAATAACTTGCCACTCGAAATTCTTCATTACTGAAGTGTTATCAAATACATATCAGAAATATTATTCACGGTTACAATTCCAAAGTTTAAATGAACAAAATTAATAAAGGTTAACCATAACAACCGTAAAATGGTCATAATTTCATCAAATCTCTAGGTTGCACTTACATGCTCATAATTTCCTAAGAATGTACGATAATTTCCTTTTTCTAAATAATTATAGAACAGTTATGGTCAATACTATCACCCCGTTTCGGCTTGACGTCAAGGTCTGGGACACTATGTATATCATTGATTATCTTTATTAACAAAAATGATATTAATTAAACTTAACATTTTTTTCAGGTTGCGCGTTGGAAAAAATTATGGTCGCGTGTTGTTAGCTACAGAGAACGTGATGGGGCAGTTCGAGCACCATCTCCAAGTGAAAGCCTGGTTATGAAGGGATCTAACATTGATAGATCAGTTCGTGAAGGCTCTCCTGTACCTGGTGTAGAATTATATGATAATGAGGATGGTGGGTCAGATTATTTTTACATCTCCAAATTTTATGAATGCATCCATTTATAAAATTTGCACAATATTATATTGTAAGTGAACATATAGCATTTGAATGAATTTGTTTACATGTCAATTGACATTGTATCTTCCTCCTCTAATGTAATCGTCATTGTGAGTTTTTTTTTCTAGAATAATTATTTATATAATGCCGGTATTTTTTTTTCCTAATATACTCTCACATTCATTTTACGTATGAGACAATCAGTACACACACTGACTAACTCCACTTTTTGAAGAACTTAAATTTCAGAGCGAAAGTAATAGGTATAATTATAAAATTTTGTATTTTTAATAATTTTCCGGAATACTAAAAATTAGTACCATTGAACGGTAATTTTTTTTGGACACTGAATAAAAGGTCAATTATTTTAGAAGCAATTTCTATTAACTCCATTTTGTAATGTATATGCTTTGGCTTGGTCAAATATGGTTTTTAAATTCATGAATTACGGATGTCAAGAATTTAGTAAAAATATAAACTGTATGTTTGTTTGGCCAAAAACTGTAGGGTCTCTTGGAACTCAAGGAATTCATCTTTTTAACTTCCACGGATCAACCGATTGGAAATTATAAGTATGAACCTTTGACCTTACTCAAGGAGCGCTTATTTATTTATTACATACATATACTTATGTTGCTTTTTAAATAGAAAATTCAATTAAAAATAAAATGTTGTTTGGAAATAATTATTTATTTTTGACGTTTTAAAACTAGGTACGGTTCTATAGTAAGATTATCTGACGAAATGAAACATACCTGGTTTCAAAATGTCGGGAATTATAAATTATTTTTCAAAAACATTTAATTTGAATTTGTATTTTTCTAGAAACACAATGTATATGTATAATGTGTTATTGAAAATTTCACGCAAAAATTTTATATTTTAAATACACTTTGCTGTAAAATATCATGAGCTTTATTGATTTTGCAATAGGCATCATTTTATGTTTTTCTGTGTGAAAACAGGTCGCGATATAAATATTGCTGAAGAATTAATTCGCGGAGGATATGCAAGAGCAATTCTTCCATTTAATGGAAGTTCATTCAATAAATTGAAAACTAATCAAGCAGGAGGCGATGATTTTTCGAAGCCATCAGCCAAAACGACTAGATTTGAAGATAGTTCTAAAACTGATAAAAATAGTGTATCTTCTGATTTTGTAAATCAGGAAAAATCAGCAACGAAGAAACAACCGGCAACGACACCAAATGTTGGCCGTAAAGACATCGTGGAAGAAACTAAATCCTTTATTAGCGGAATCTCTGATGAGGCAGTTAAGGTAGTAGAACGCGTCAAACAGTCTACCGACAAAGGCGCTGATGACTCTGTTCAATCTGTCAAGGATCGCGTTGCTAAAGTTCAAAGCAAGCTGGAGGAAACGAAATCTTTCATTGATGGCATTTCCAAAGACGCTGAAAAAATAGCAGTAGACAGTAAAAACGCCGCTAAATCAACTTCAGATGATATTAAGCCAAAAGTAAAAAGCGCCAAGGAACGCGTAGCTAATAAAGTTAACAATGGCAAAATTTCAGAAAAAAGTCCTCCAAAAACGAGTAAAAATGATGAAAAGTCAAGTAGTCCTAAGTCACCTTTAAAATCAGAAGTTGATTTTATGCCCACATTTAATAAAACTGAAAAGGGTAAGAAGATGCCACAGTCTCCTTCCGAAATAAAAAATCAAGCAACCGATTTTTTGAAAACCGAACGCAATTCTAAAAACGGAATTTAATTTCATAAGTTATATTTAAAAATACGTTTCATAAATCAGCTTTTGTTATTATTAGAAGTATAAAGCATTGTATAATTTAACATGTTATTGTAATTAATATTTGTAAATAATTATTTATATTATTCATATTCTTCGTGTTCTCTGAGTTGCTTTAGTATATAATAACGTTTAGTTCAGTAAATTATCTATTAATGATTTATTATTTTTTTCTATTTATATTAAAAAAATTCATGCATTTCAACATTCGTGACATATCATTAATGTTTATCAAAATGTAGGATTGTTGTTAGGTTGCCATTAAAAAGCAATGTATATTCTTCAAACATCTGTCAATTAATTAAAATTCATATATGAATATATATATATATATATATATATATATATATAATATATATATATATATATAATGTGCCATTTTTATTTATATAACATTTATAGCTTCATTTTCTAAGAAGCACAGCTTTTTATGAGTTACGATTACAATCAATTAGAAATCGTGTCAAATTTTTTTTATAATGTTATTTTACGCAAAGCTGTGAAATATTTTCTATTTCTACCTAAAATATGAAATATTTTGTTGTGTGAAAACTAGTAGTTTAGCCAATTTGCAACAATTTTTGTGTATTAAGAAGTTTTAGAAACCCATTTTGGGATAGTTTAAAGCAAATACCTCTTTTGCAAATGAAATTTACTCCTTGGTTGTGATTAATCATTTATTGCTTGCACATGCTATTCTATTGAAATATACAACTTTGTTAGGTAGTTGATCAATTCTTTGTTTGTTGTTTCTAAACATTATGCAGTTACCTTAGTAATTTCATGGGTAGATTTTTGCATAATATTTTGTAAGAAGAATTTATAAATTTTTATGTACTATTAATTGTAATTTGCAATTAATAATTGTAAATTTGTTAGTACAAACATATAAAACTTTAAAGTGGAAAGTTTAATTGATTATATTATTATCAAATCATATTTGATTTTCTAGGAGTTTGTTCAACATTATGTATGTTTTTAGTTTAGACTAATGTGAAGTTTTCTTATAGCGTCAAGTTGTAAGTTACAGAAGATTTTTAACAAAATTTGGAAGTATTGACTTTTGTTAAATAGTTTTAAATAATCTTGCTTAGTATGTGATTCGTGTAGTTTTTGTTGAAATATTTCAATAATTGAACATCCTTCGTCATGATGGAAATATTTAAAAAGTTTCAGTATACTTATTTCTTTGAACAATCAAAATGATTTTGACGTTTTATTTAGTTGTATATTCTTAGTTTAACATTAATTATATCAAGAGTGATCTGTACTTTCTTCCTTTGTTACTAATGTAAATTATTCTGCTTTGTTATTCAAGTAGCGCAAATTCACACAACAGAATATTTTTGCATGGACAATTTTTATACACTAAACAAAGGGAAGTAATTCATGTTGTTAACTTCGACAGCTCAATCATTTTTGTTACTGTTATGTGTATTTCTTTATTATATATAATTAAACTGTAGTTAAATCGTTATCATATCACATCATGAACATTAATATTATAGCGCATCTCTTTCATATAAATAACTCTTTGTGATTATTTAAGCTATAAAATGTGCCTTAGTAAATTATAAAAAATGAATTATAATATATTTGAAATTTTCATATATAAGATTGTTAAAAATTAAATATATTTATTAATTGGAAAGTAAGGCGTTGGATATGTATAGTTTTATTAAATACGTTTGCTTTTTGCTTGTAATATGATTTTGCCAAAAATCATTGTTATACTCATAACATGTAGTATGGTTTATGAATATATACTTTCTAAAATAAAAAAGTTTTATTTACATTTTCTTCAATTAATTTGTCATCCGCGCCAGATTCAATACTTTCTTTAATTTCACGCAAGACTGGTCACAGGTTTGTCTTTTTTTGTTTGGTATTATTTTACATTTGGTCATAGTAGAGTACATATATAAATCTTTAGCGTGGTAAACGCAAATCAATATACTTGGAGCAGTCACTGTTTATAGATCTACATCGCGGAGAAATCGACACGTACTAAATCAAGATGAAAAATGTGAGTGTTGTGAAGAATTACACCAGTTCATAGTTCTATTCTATAATGTTTTTAATTTGTTTGAATTTTCAGATAATTGTGGCATTCGTTTTGTGTTTGTTGGTGGATTATTTGACCTGCTTGCCGTTACATCCAGAAGAAGATGCTGCAACTGCAGGTTAGTAAGTTGTCAATCAGCAAAGAGTTCATCATCGAAGTTCTCTTGTATAGTGTCGTAGTTATTAACCTTCTGAAGGACAAGTTTGTTTTATCAAGAAATTCCAATTTGGTAACTTTGTTTTCTCTGATGTTTCAAGTCATTCTGAATCGAATGAGACCGAATTTGTAGAAATTATTTTTGTGTGCATGTGAACCGATTTTGACCTCTTGCCGACGATTTCTCAAAAACGGTTAAACCGAATTAAAAAATTCAAAAGCCTTTCGATGCAACCAGTTTTGCGCGACGATCGGCTGAGCGATAACATGTGGTATGGTTATTAAATACTTCTTCATAATTAGCAAAAAAAGTGTAAAAGTTTTTGTGCATATTTTAGCCCACAATCCTGAATCGATTTCAAAAATTCAAAAACCGTTTGAAAGGTATTGGTTGGGAATGGTGCTGATTAATTTTTGGTAACGATCGGCCAATTTGTTTTCTTGAACTGTTAAAGTTGTTAGTTATCATGGTTTTATGGAACGAACTTGTATTAAAGCCATACGACCATTCGTTTAATTTTAAAAATTCATTGACGTTTTAAAAAATGAACAGAGCTTTTTTGATGTGAGACAGAATTAGACCGATTTAAAAAATTTAGAAACCATTCGATGAAACTTCATAAGCATTCGCATTGGTTAATTTTTTGATAAGACCGGTTTCTTTAGAATCAGTAGAAAGTATAATTTTTTTTATTCACGAGTTAGCCAACAATTCTGAATTGATTTTGAAAAATCAAAAACTATTTGAAAGGTATCATTTGGAAATTGCTCTGATTAGTTTTTGATAGAGATGGGCCCAGCCATTTCTTTGTAATTGGTTGTTAAAAAAATGTTTCGACGATTAAATGAATTTTTGTATGGCGATGGAGCACCTGGTCTTAATGGATATGTTTATATATTACAGTCCTACAAAAAGTGGTTCGATTATGAAAAATAATTAAAATTTAAATTAATCGGCCGCGCTTTTAGAAAATACTTTGTGTATGTATTAGACGTTTGTTTTTCAAAATGTTAAATCGAATAAGCTGCAATTATTTCTCACAGTATAAAACTCTATACTGATAAATCATTCATAAATTATATATTATTGATTTCTTATTGATTAAGTCGATCAATTACACATGTCGGAAAGTTCATTCAACTTGGCTTAAGGCAAAATGCCACTTACAACTAGTTTTTTGTTTGTGTGCTCACGATTGAGCATACGATTGTGTTACCTGCACCGCTAATGCACTGTTGAGCATGTAGTCTAAGAGCCAGTGAACTATTTGACTAACCTGTTTTCACAAAGCCAGAAATTTTTTTAATGATATTTTATTATCGGCCCATTAAGAAAGTACCATTCTGGCAGTCATTCCGCGGTTGCGTCATCATCCCTTCAATTTGTGAAAATGTAAAAAAAACTGTTTTTATAACTTGCTCGCACAAGGCTCAAATTTTGAGGGTGTCTTCTTTTAACTGTTCAGAAAGCATATGTAAAAAGCCAGCCCATTCTGACGGTTGCAAGGGTCTGCCAGACGAGTACATAATAGTCACGACGCGCAAGGGTGTGGGCGCATTGCCATACATAATTGACTAATACCCTTGTATTTGAATAATTAATACGCCATTTTAAAGGTCATTTTGAAAACATCCGTTATACCAAACTTCAACTCTGTATCTCACCGTATGGCCGAGATATCATTGAAAATATGCCAAAGTGGCCCCTTTTTCAAACTCAATTTTTGGCTTAACCATAAAAGATATCGAAAAAAAAATTACGTGATTCTACTCATATTGGCTTAAATCAAATAATGTATAGTAATATATGCTAAATAATCCTTTATTATTAGCTAAAAAGGATAAAATAATTTTTCAATTAATGTTTTCGGATAGTGCGTTTTGTTCAATTACTTTATTATTAGTGTTATTTAAAAGCTTATTGTTTTCTCTTTTAGTACTGCAAATATGGTTTAAATCAAATTTGTGGAACACATTGAAAAATTGAAGAAACCAGAACCAGTACACCCGCGCGTAACGCATCGCTTATCCGACCGAACGAATTCTATGCGGGCTACTTTAGCGTTACGCGCGGGTGTACTGGTTCTGGTTTCTTCAATTTTTCAATGTGTTCCACAAATTTGATTTAACATTGCAAAGATTTGATCATTATGAACAAATGGTTATCAAAATAAAATGGATTCGAAAATGAAATATTTGTATTTTGCACAAAATGTAATAATACAGTTCTAGCACTTATGCACATTAACATCATACTTTTTGCTTTTTGAAGAGCCACACAAGGTTGAAACTAGTTAAGAATTGCGAAACCCTCATGGCTTATTCATATTCAATCTCTTTGGCTTCAACCTACAATGACGACCAAACTAGAAAGGCCAAACGTAAATATTACGGGCATAGCCCGCGTATGACAATCGGTCCAGAAGCAAATATTACGCATTACGGGCATGGCCCGGTACGGCAATCGCGAGTATTGCAAAATATTTATTCATACAAAACTCCAAAATACAAAATTATTTTTATTTTTGTGATGTACACAGTGTGATAAAATAGTCACGAACGCTGGCGCCAGCTTGTACAACTTTGACCCACCATTTTTGAACCTGAACCGTAAGTTATGGGGTTTGTTATCCATTTGAATTGATTAATTCGAGCCAATTGATTTTTGTGTTTTTTGTAGTGAACTTAATAACGATTCATATTAGCAATTAGTGTGGTGATATGTTTTTTTTGCTTATTCAAA